GAGATGCGCGTGCGCAAAAAGCCTGCCCCGGCGGATCTGTTCCGCTGTCCTGGACAGCAGGTGCGCTCGTTGATCACCTAGGAGAGACTTCTAGGACTCTGCGGTGGTGCGGCACTTTCCTAGTAATGATTATTTTACCCATTACTTTGCTAAAAATAAAGTAAGCTTGTGTTTTCGTTCATGTAAACATCCAACAGATACTTACCAGTGCCTGCCATGTGCCCAAAGATGTTCTACTGGAGTTGTTTGGCAGAAAGACGGACATGGGCGGGAAGGAAAGACGGTGGGGCTCACCAGGAACTCCAGGGAGTTAATTGGATGAAGCCCGAGAGCCACAGATAACTCAGAGTTAATTAAATGAAGCCACAAGGGCAGAGAGTAACCTGAAGAGCACAGACAGGCACTCCCCAGATGACAAAAATTCCCCAGTTGAAAAATGTCGGAGTGTTAGGAAGGAAAGGATTCGGCTCGGTGTCGCAGGGAAGTCAGATATAGTGAGATAAGAGACCAAAGTCAGGAAAGCAAAGTAAGTTTTAATACACACACTCTGCATGGCGTGACAGAGAGGGCCTGCCTAAGGTGAGACAGGCAGGTGTGGATGCTCATTCTGAGGCTTCTTTTATGTGGTTTTTGGCAGGGCAGAAGTCCTTGATTGACAGCTGTCAGCTCTTTTGGCTGGTACTGATTGGTGAAGTGGGGAAGGGGCTGTGCTGTGCCTGTGCCTCTGATGTTTCTTATCTGGTGGCACCTCCACAACCACACAATTGTAGACACACACCCCTCGGTGCGAGCGCCACTTCTCCCCATCATTTATTTCTAAGGGCGGCCCTCCCAAAGGTTGCATCCATTATTACAGATTTCAGGTTCAGAGGAATCCTATGCCAGGTATAAGTCCGGGAAGAGGAAATCCGGGTGTAAAATACCTCTAAAACTGAAATCAGTCAAAGGGAGAAATAAAGTTTAAAATCCGTCTATTGCTTACAAACTGCATTCTGGGCCTGTCTCTTTTTCCTGCTCCAGCAGAAGCAAAACCGGCCCTCCCCCTCAGCTCTCAGGTACAGATAAGCCCTCGGTTGCCCAGGTCATTATCCACTGATATGGAGATGAACTTCTCTACCCCTAAGGAATGATACAAATGCACTAAAGCCATACTTCTCTCCACCCTTGAGCACCAGTTGATATGCAGATGTACTAAAGCCAGGCGAGATATTCTGGAAATATTACAATTTTACCCATAGGGCCCCCCCAGAGATGACTCAGGGAGTTGATCAGATGAAGCCAAAGGGTCCAAGAGAGACTCAGTAAATGGCCAGTCACACCATTTAACTGCTCCACACCTCACTTGCTTCTTCTGTACTCTCCTGGCAGTCGTCATCATGTGGGTTAAATCAGATAACATGTAGAGCATCTGGCAGAGAATTTATCACCCTGTATTATAACTATCTGTCTACCTTTCTGTCTCCCCCCACTGAACTATGAGTCCCAGAAGGCAGGAACTGGATTTCACTTCTCTGAGGCATGGAACTACAGCATAGTGTTTAGGAGCATGACTTCTGGAGCCAAATTAAGTGGGTTTGGATGCTGCCAGTTACAAGCTACATGCCCATGGCCAAGGTGCCTCACCTTTTTGTGCTTCAGTTTCATCACCTGTAAAATGAAAACAAGAATAGAAGCTGCATTAAAAAGTACTTAGAAGAGTTCTTGGCATATAGTACATGTTAGCTTTTATCTTTGCATCCTGATACCTGGCAAAGAGAGGGTCTCAGCAAATGTTAACTTTGAGGCTACATTTTGATGTAAAGAGATCCTATACCCGGGCCAATGTGAGCAACTTAAGAAGCATCTAGTAACAGCAATGCTGGGTGGTTATGAGAGCTATGTAGGAGAACAAAGCTGTGAGGGCTATCAGCAATGCCAGTGGGGGTAGAGAGCTTACCCTGTAAATGTGGTGGTCCATATTTGAGTTCATCGGGAAGGAAAGATTTGAGCCAGACTTGAAGGAGATGTGGGAGTGGAAACACGTGGACATCTGGGGGAAAAGGTGTTTTAGGGAGAGGAAATAGCAAATGCTAAGGTCTAGGTGCAGTAATGTGCTTAATATTTTAAGGAAGAGCAAGAAGGTGTTGCTAGAGTGAAATGAGATAACAGAGGTAGAGGGACAGGACATGCAGATCATGGGAGATGCTCTTGGCCATGGCAAAAACATAGGATTTTACTTGGAGTGAGGTCAGAAGGCAGTGAAGTGTTCTGAGCAAAGGAGTGACAGGATCAGCTTTATAGTGTGAAATAAAAATGAAATTTTTATGGCCCCACAGGAAAAGACAGCTATGCCAGTCAGGACAACTCATGCTATGCTGTGAAGATGCCATGCAGCCATTCCTGTCAGAGTCAGCAAGATTGCAGCAGCCCCCACCAATGATGAAGAAGGAAAAAAAACAGTCCTAAATGATCAAAGAAAACAAAGGAGTCAAGATTCTGTTGTCCTTGATGGAATTCTTTAGGAAAATGAGTGAGACGTCTCTGACACCAAATGTGATTGTCACTCTTCCAACACCAAATGCAATGGTGTATTTCTTCCCTACATATATGTATAACAGAAACATTATACACAGCACCAATAGTAGTGTAACTGAGACGGGGACCGTGGGGGTAGTAAGAGTAGGGTGAGGGCCTCTGGAAGAAGAGCCCCACCAAAACTCCGTATTAAACAATTAAGCAGATAGAGTTACATTAATTCTCTAAAATAAAATATCAAACTAAGAATATAAGCATTCGTCAGCAAAGATTAGTTAAAACTAAAAAGCCAGGAGTAACTTAGCCTGGAATGTTTGAACATCTCCCAGATAAGAAAATACCTCAGCATAGCCCATGCCTTGTTTGTGTCAATTAAACGAGGCTATTGTAAAATTTACTTTAGCGGCTAAAAGGCCCCGTTTATCTTTAACTTTACCCAGATGCTGCTTTTCCTCCTCCAGCCCCTAATCAAGTCATATATAACCTGGGCAATTAATATAACAGGCAGGCCCAGCCATAAACAACATAGTGAAGGACAGGAAGGATTCCATCTTAAAGATAAGAAGTTTAGAAGTAAAATTCTTAATTTACTATTTAACAAACAGACAGTAACTCAGCTCACCCTGAAAGCAAGACAAGCAGCCTTGATTGATACCCTCCCAAACCAAGAAACTGCTATTCTAAGAAAGAATCAAAGCAGTATATTTCTTATGGTAACTCTGGAAAATAGTCTGGAAACCTGATAAGAAACTTAGTGTCTCCTTAAAAATAAACATTTAGAGACCATTTGGTGGGTCTGCATCCCTAGCTCTTTTGTCTCTCAAATGCCTATAAATGCCCTAGACAACGCACCACCCCGGGCTCTCCTGTCCCCTCCTGGTGTGAGCCAGGAGCTCTGTCCTCTCACTGTGAATCTCTCAAAAAAAGCCTCTCCCTGGCTCTTCTACCTTGACTGTTTGCTGTTAATTCTTCGACTCTGCAAACAAGAACCCAGGCATCACAACTTCATTCAGGTACCCAGACCCTATTCCAGTGTGGGTAAATAGGTGGGAGGGGGTCTTCCCACACATAATTATACCAAGCAATTCTTGAACACAGCAGGGTGTTGGAGAATGCAGCTCAGTTCTGATGCTATCTGCCCAGAGACAGCACCAGATTCCCAGGTTAAGGGCCCGTGCTACAAGACCACCCTCCACCCCCAACTCCAGATTCCAGTAACAAATTCCAGGCAGTTCCTGTGCTTCTGACCTACCGGCTACAGATTGGAGGTTCCCACAACCTCTCCCTTAGGTTCCATTAATTTGCTAGAGCAGCTCACAGAACTCAGAACACTTACATTTACCAGTTTAATAAGGGATACCATAAAGGATACAAGTTAACAGCCAGATGAAGAGAGACACAGGGGGAGGTCCCAAATAAAGGAGCTTCTATTCTATCCTGGTGGAGCTTGGGGCCTGGCTCTGGGGCACATGGAGGGGCACGTGGAGGTGTTTCTCTCTGACCAAGAAGCAGGATCCAAGAGAGAGGAGCAGGCTGAGTACAGTGCAGAGAGAGGGCGAGCTCTTCTCCTGGGTTTTGTGAGGGCTTCATTGCCTAGTCATGATTGACTAAACTATTGGCCATTGGCTGATCCAACCTCCAGCCCCCACCCCCCCACCGCGTGGAGTCCAAAAGTCTCTCATTAACTTGAGAAAACACCCATTTCACCTTTAAGGCTCTGCAGTGTTTTCAGAAACTGTGAAGACCAAATATACCTGGGAAATGCATATTTGGTCATATAGGTGACCAAATATTTATTTCTTATAAGTCATTATATCACAATGCGTATCAGTCCTAACCCTTGCCTCTTTTTGCGCACAGATAGCCCCAGAATGTGCACAGTCTGAACTTTTAGGACACTAAACCAAATGTATCCTTGACACACTGCTTTGATGTATTCATTAATGTAACTTTCCCCTGCACATATCCCCTGCTGTAAACTGCATATAAACTATCTTCACACAAAAAGGAATGGAACAGTCTAATCAGAACTCTTTCTCTGATTAACTGTTTTTTGGGCCATAGTACTCGGTCACGAATACACTCTATCATATTCTAGCCATGTTGATTTCAGCCGACAGTACTTCTAAAATGTTACTGGGTAGTGGCTGTGTGAGAAGCAGGGAGGCTATTAGAATGCAGATTACTCTTGCTTACTATTCGGGTGGATTCCAGGACCTTCAACATCCAGTACTTCTCTTGCTGCTCCTACCAAGGAAGAGGGCTGCAGTAGGCCAGGGATGTGAATGCAAATTCAAAAGTTCCTCTTCACCATGACCTCCCTCTCCCTCTCGTCCTTGCCTTGAAGTTTCTGATTAAAGCGGTATCTTGTGTGCCTACTGCTCTCAGAGGTGAATGGGTTAAGCTTTAGTTCAGCCTCCCTTTTCCTATTCAGTTCTTCCTGTGGCTGCTTCCCACTGCCAAAAAGGAAGCAATCTTCCCCGTTACTGCTTAGTTAGTGCTAATGTGCTGACACATCCAGCAGGTAAAGTTACCTAAAATTCTCTGCAAAAATGTTGGGACTTTTCATTAAATCATAGAAAATTTACAGGTTTTCTCTTGGGAGCCAAAGATATTTTAAAGAAGAATCGATATTTTGCTTCTCCAGTTGAACATTTTCTAGCAATAAAAGCCATGCAAATAGAGTTCTCCACCTGCTTCTTTCTGTGCCTTTTGCCACTCAGCTTTAGTGCCACCAGAAGATACTACCTGGGCACAGTGGAACTGTACTGGGACTATATGCAAAGTGAACTGCTCAGTGAGCTGCACCTGGATACGAGGTAAAGGCATGTTCTATAAGGTTCAGTCAGGATTATGGGGATGTGACTCTGGTTGGAGGAAGGTGCAGACATCAGGTTAGGATGGCTGTGATGCTAATTAGGCCCTGAAAAGCATTTCCAGGTAAGGCATACGTGCATCTGTGCTGTTAGTACAAATGCTAATTGCCAATCTTTTTCCTAGATCTGACCTATTCACTGATACTTCATTCTGTTTTGTCCATTGCTGCACTTTGTCACCTGCTGCTACTCTGGAAACTAGAGGGTAGAGTAGAGGGAGGATGAAGAGGCAAGGAGCATAACGGAGAGAACAAAACTGCCCTCAGTCTATCCCCAAGCACAGCAGTCTAAGATCCCACGGGTATTACGCACAACCGTAATCTCTAGTTCTCTTGTTTCTGCATGTGGTGTGGTTAAATCTTTGCCTACTTTTGCTGTAAAGACAGTAGTAGCCATGAGTTCAGAAGCTTTTCATTTTTGGGGGTGGGGAGTCCTAGTGTATTTTGGAATAGTAGTGTTAAATATTCTTCTCAATATTATCTGTGGTTGATTTGTTCAGATTTCTCTGCCTTTTCTTCAGACAAATTTGGTTATGTATATTTTACTGGAAAGCAATCTATTATCCCTATATTTGATAACATATCGATATCAAGTAACATAACAGCCTTGTGATATTAATTGTTCTATGACTGTATTTTATCTCCTTTCTCATTCTTATATTGCATATGTTCTCTTTCCCTCCCTTAAAAGTAATATTTCCAGGAAGTTTCTCAAATTTATTATTGGTCTTATCAGGAATCATCTTTTGGTTCTATCAATTTCTGCTTTTACTTTCATTAATTCATTCCTTCTTCCTAATTTCCTTTGGTTCATTTTGTTCATCTATTTTTGCTTGTTGAGTTGAATGCTGAAATCATTTATTTAAAATTTTTTTCTTTCCTTTAAATGTATATTATAAAGATTTAAGCCCAATATATATGTAAGGGCAATATAAATATTAAATGTGGTCACGTCATACATATGTTACAGCCTTTTTTCTCCTGTTTGGCTCCCCACCCTTCTTCTCCATTAGCCCCCTTCTTCCCTGTCCCCAACCAGATGACCCTAGTATAATAGTATATATTCATGCATACACATATTTACATATATTTACAAATAAGGATTTTTTTACAAAAATGGGATATTACCAAACTTTTCTCATTTGCTGACACCTAGTAAATTCTGTCCAAGTCAATTGGCATGCCTTCAATTCGTACTTTTTAGTGGTTACATAAAATTTCATATTATTCCAGTTTTTTGGCCATTATATCCAACACCATTATACATTGGTACTTTTATTCCGATGACACAGATTTTCAAGAGGGATATTGCTGAAATGAAGGAACTATTTCCTTTTTAGTTTTAATTTCCAAAACGGCCAAAACTCTTCTAACATTTCTACCATCAGTATATGACAGTGCCCTTCACCCTGCATTTGCATCAGCAAGAATTTTATTTTTAGTTTAAAAATTTTTGCCATTCTGGTAGGTATAAAGTGTTATTGCATCATTACTTTGATTGCATTCCTTTTATTTCCTATTAGGTTCAGCATCTTTTCAAATGCTTGTTGGCTACTGCATTTATATTTTGAGATTTGACTATCATATGTTTTGCCCATTTTTCTTTGGGCTTTTTCATTTAAAAATATTATGACACCTTTTATATTGCAAGTGATAACCTTTATTGTACTACATTAATATGCTAATGTATATTTCAGTTTCCCCCAATACCTATTGTTTGTCTATTGACTTTATTTATAACTTTCGTCAAAAAAGTTTTTAATTTTTATAGTAAAATATACCCATCTTTTTTTCATATCTTTAAAGTTACCAGTGTTGGTTAAAAATGTTTTCTGCATGAAAACTGAAGGAACAAAACAGCAGTAGACTCGGAGACTCCGAGAAGGGACTAGGAGTTGCCAAAGGGGAGGGGTCGGGTAGGATGGGTGGGGAGGGAGCGAGGGAGAAGGGGATTGAGGGGCATTATAATTCGCAATCACAATACAGGTAGGTGATAGGAAGGCAGTACAGTGTGGAGAAGACAAGTAGTAACTCTATAGCATCTTACTACACTGATGGACAGTGACTGCAGTGGGGTTGGGTGGGACTTGATAATATGGGTGAATGTTGAAACCACAATGTTGCTCATGTGAAACCTTCATAAGATTATATATCAATGATACCTTAATTAAAAAAAATGTTTTCTGCATGGCGATGGGTTGTGGAATTCCTTGGTTCTTGTCTTCTCGAAGGAAAGAATTCAGTTGAGTCATGGCACCAAATATGTTAGGGGCTGAGTTTGTTCTCTGTCATTGTTGCCGCCGAAACAAAGAATTGAAAGGCAGAGACACACAGCGTAGCCAAGAGAAAGTTTTATTTAAATACATTAGGGTTTAGGAGTATTCTCCCAGATTTTCTTTCAAGATCTTTACTGTTTTGCTTTTTACATTTGTGGCTTTAATTCCTCAGATAATTATTTTTGTAGATGGTATATGGGATCTGTCTAGTTTTATTTCCATCCTTATCAATAGCATATTGTGTTGGCACCATTTATCAAACCATATGTCTACTGCCACTGATTTTAATAAACATATTCATCATATAAAAAAATCTCATATATATTAGTATCTATTTCTGGATTCACTATGCTATTTCACTGATCTCCTTTGTCTTGCTATGCCAATATTGTATTGATTTGGGTCTATTTTGACTGTGGGTCTATAAGATCTTCTGATACTTGATGAGTGAAATCAATATTCGCTGCTCCTTTCATACCTTCCTTAGCATTTTGTGGGCATTTTATTTTTCCATGTAAAAGTGTTAAAATATTTTTTTCAATTAAAAAGAGTCAAGCCCTGTTATGATTTTAATTAGAATTGCACTTATCTCATACATTAATTTTATTAATGTAATAAATATACGTAATTTATTATTAAATTTATTCCTATGCATTTTATAAATATGTTGCTATTGTTGATAAAATGTTTTCTCCTATTTCCATTTTTTGATGTTTAGTACCAGAATAGAGAAAAGCTATTGGTTTGTGCATATTCATCTTGAATCAAATAAAAAATGAGCAAAATGAGACAGATTTTAGCTCTTTTCCAGAGTTCATAGCTAATTATTTCTTTCTTTATCCCTTTCTTTTCTCTCCCCCTTCTCCCTCCCTTCCCTCCCATCCTCTCCAGTCCCTTTCCCTTTGGTAACTGTTAGTCCACTCTTGGGTTCTGTGATTCTGCTGCTGTTTAGTTCCTTCAGTTTTTTCTTTGCTCTTATACTCCACAGATGAGTGAAATCATTTGGTATTTGTCTTTTTCCACCTGGCTTATTTCACTGAGCATAATACCCTCTAGCTCCATCCATGTTGTTGCAACATTTGCTATTTGTTTTTGATAAATGGTCTTTGTTACTTCTGTTCCCATTTGCCATAAAATTTTTATTAGAAATGACTTCTTAGCATCTAGCAATCATCTGAGTTTTCTTCTTTACTATCTTGGACAAATATAGATTATATTAGTATATTTCCTCACATTTATACCCTTATGTTCTTGGAGTACTATCTACTGTTCTTATGATTTGATTATTGCTGGCTTCTGCATGCCAATATTTCTTTAAACACTGTGTACCTTTATGTGGAGTTGATCTATAGCTTTATTCTTGACTTATTATTAGATTTACATATTAAAATTTTATTGGCTTTATCAAATAAATTGGTGAGTGCTCCATGTTTTTCCATTGCCTAGAATAGCTCAAATAAATAACATTAGAATGATCTATTGTTTAAAAGTTAAATTAAAAAATAAAAGATAAGTCTTACTTATGAATCCATGTGGTCCAAGTGACATTTGCAATATCTTTAATCATCACTTTAGGCCCTTCTATGATAATTAATCAAATCAATCTTCAACTTCTTTTTGAGTCAGTTTTAATAATTGTATACCTTTCCAGGAAATCACTTCCTTTATTTTTTTTATTTTTATTTTTATTTTTATTTATTTTTTTTTGAGTGTTTTTTTTGAGAGGGCATCTCTCATATTTATTGATCAAATGGTTGTTAACAACAATAAAATTCAGTATAGGGGGGTCAATGCTCAATGCACAATCATTAATCCACCCCAAGCCTAATTCTCATCAGTCTCCAATCTTCTGAAGCATAACGAACAAGTTCTTACATGGTGAACAAATTCTTACATAGTGAATAAGTTCTTACATGGTGAACAGTACAAGGGCAGTCATCACAGAAACTTTCTGTTTTGATCACGCATTATGAACTATAAACAATCAGGTCAAATATGAATATTTGTTTGATTTTTGTACTTGATTTATATGTGGATCCCACATTTCTCCCTTTATTATTATTATTATTATTGTTTTTAATAAAATGCTGAAGTGGTAGGTAGATGCAAGATAAAGGTAGAAAACATAGTTTAGTGCTGTAAGAGAGCAAATGTAGATGATTAGGTGTGTGCCTGTAGACTATGTGTTAATCCAAGCTAGACAAGGGCATTAAAACATCCACGGATGCAGAAGATTTCTCTCAAAACAGGGGGGGTGAGGTTCTAAGCCTCACCACTGTTGATCCCCAATTTCTCACCTGATGGCCCCCCTGCGACTGTGCCCACTTCCTTTATTTTTTCAATGTTGTTTCCACAGGGTTGCATATAGCACTCTCTCATGACTCTTTTACTCAACATTATCTGTACTTATGTATCCTTTCTCATTCTGAAGTTCCTGTATCTTTGTTATTTATCTTTCATCCATGAACAAGTTTGCCAGGGATGTGTCTATTTTGTTGTTGGTGAGGGTCTTCAAAGAGTGTGCTTTTGGGTTTCTTAGTTATTTTTAAATATTTAATTTATGTTTAGATTTTATCTTTATCAATGATCTTGTTTCCTTTGGCTTACTGTGCCGTTATTTTTCAAATATCTTAGGGAAAGTAATATAGCTTTTTCTCTTTCTTTTGTC